GGGTGAAATCGACCAACGAATCTCTTCTTTATGCACTTTCATACGAAATGAAGGTCCCTCTAACAATGCTTTCATAATAGTTTTATAAGTTGTGCGCTTCTTTTCTATGGTCGAGGGGCTCTCGCAGGCATCAACTGTTGGCAGATGGTCTTCGGCCCATGTTGAAAGCAGTCTACGGTCTCTTAGCAAGATCGATTTGTTATATTCCCCAAATGACACACTGTCTCCCGCCGACAACTATGATTGTAAGCTTGTTGCCGATCCTCGATCCAAGCTGGTGGACGAGACCTACTTGGATCAGGCCGCAAGCTGGGCTCACGCGATTGCATTTGGTTGTCACCTTCAGATCAAGCCGTCGGGGATCCGAAGGATTCGAACGCGTCTGCAAAGTCCATACGTTTTTTCATTATCCACCAAGTCTGTTTGACACAAGGTTATTCACGCCTATGTACCATCGTATTGGATGCATTCTCGTTAATCATCCTACTGCTATGGGTAGACCTGTTTAGTATGAGGCATGACAAGGGACAATAACAATTTGGTTCGGCTGGCCGACCGCTGTGGCTGGAAGGTCCTTATCTCGACCATCGGCTTCATGACTTCCAGTCCATAATGGATTTTTAGTTCCTTCCTATACCTCAACTTATACAATGTCGTTAGGAGAGGGGGGAACCGAACGGTTATTGACACAAATTTTGACATTTACATTGAAACTAATATCTCGTCCTATGAGCCTTATCAGCGTATATCATGCTTAACATAATTGTGATTATGCATTGCTTTGTTCGCACAGTACCATTCTGAATGTCCACGAAATGCTTTCTTGTCTGCTCGTTTGATTAGAGCCACTTGGCTGCTCCCTGCCTTGGTCAAGCCGACAAGTTAGCATGTGAATTAGATGTAGACATAGACAGAAAGAGAGAGAAAGAGAGAGATTAAGCTCGTTCTTTACAATTCTCCCACAGCGTCAAGTCTCTTGAATATAGGCAATTATATGCAAGCGGCAGGTAGAATTGCACAGCCGCTTTGTGTGCGGGGTGGGGAGGGAGGGTAGGAGGGGATGTAAATGTTTATCTTAGAGCCTGTCTCAACTGGTATACACCTTTTGTATTGTCTGTGGCCGCACGGACTTGCACATCACCTGGACAACCGGGGGCTTTAGAGGTCTGTAATGGCATTGGGATCATTTGAAACTGGGTGACTCAGTCACCTGCTACCCCCCTTCCCTCTGCTTGAATAAAACTCTTATCCTCCTAATAGTGTCATAGACGCAAGAAACACAGGCAAGGAGTAGAGACAGGCTCGCAGGCTACATGCACATACATTTTGTTTCCATGTGACTCGTGTGATTTTAATGAAGAAGACTGCCCTAATGGGATTCCCATAGCTTCGGCTGAATCACCACAACACTCGCCCATGAAGCTGGGTCCGGCTAAATCTGCCCCTTTGCCCCTCAGTCCCGCCGTCGGCTCGATGTCCTCTGGCAGGGTGGAAGAAGACATCTGTCATGTGCCTCAACCGCTGTGGTCTTTCTGGTCGGCTTTACCGCTTCTGCCCTCAAAAGAATTGAATCACATGTCTGTATCCTAATTCGCCTCTTCTCCAATCACCCGTCCTACTCCACCCCGCATCATCTCACCTCCTCTTCTTTCATCTCCTCTCATCCCGTCTCATTTTAGATCATTTTTTTCTCAATTCATTTGGCCAACCGAGCGCTAGAGGCCTCGCCATTTCCACGTGGTGCTATTTACTGACTTGAAGAAATAACAAATGGAAAAGATGAGAACGTCATTTAATGAATGACGGTGCTGCCGATCTAAGGCCTTGTGAATGAAAAACCTGATATCACCTTAAATGAGAATCCCAGCAATGCATATTCACTGTCAATGTGACTAGCATTGTTAACTGTCTCGATGAGCTACTCCTATACGCCACCTTTGATCATGGTTATCTGGTCCTGGAATATCTTATTCAGCACAAGCAAGCTTCATAGACTCACCGAAACTCACACTCACCTTATACGGCTCCATTTTGGACCAGCACTTTCTGTAATATGGCATGACATGCGATTTAGCATTGCCAACCATCGCTTACAAGACTTAGTGATGAGACCATGGCAACAATTTTTCGGTTTACTTTCGAGGGCGAAGTTTGCTTCTTGTCGGGTCAGGCCTTAACATCCTCGAATCGACTAAGTGCTGCATTTTGTTCAGCGCCAGCTCCCATCTTCAAGTATACTAACCCATGCTGATGGTTTTGGCACGGCTCAAGCCCGAGGCGGGAAATTGGAATAGCGAAAGCTCCTATCCTCCATTGAAGACAAATAAGTCACATGAGAGGTTTGTTGTGGGTCTTCACAGAGATCTCCGAAGCGATTACTCTCGTAACTCTATCCTGTTGTCGTCTACCAGTGCGTCAGCCTCCATGTCCATATGCGTGTGTGTGTTCCCGAGTGTCTAGCTTCCGTGTCCACATGTGCATCCTTATCCATTTAACAATACGTCTCTTTGTGCTGCTGTAGGTGTGTTCATGTGTGTTTTTATGAATTTCCATGTCCATCTATATCATTGTGCGTGCCCACGTTCTAATGCGCTTCCATGTGTATGCGTGTAAGTTCGCAGCTATATCAGTTTGTATGTATTCTTATGTAATTAGTTTTTAATTAAGTTGCCTTGTTGATCCGATTGAGAATCTTGTTCTTATAGAAAATCAGTATATAGTGTAGATGCAAATGTTGAATTTTGAGGGACTTGTAGATATCAAGACAAAATTGTTGTGGCCTTTGTTTTGGTAGCTGTCTCTATTCGCTACATAGAAGGCATTTTACTCCGCTTTCGCAACGTGTCGATGTTGTTGGGTTGACTTCTTTGAGCGTACCTTGTCCTAAGTCCTTTGCTCTAGTAATTAGCATAATGCCTGACCTCAGACCGTGACATGATACATTCCCAGACGTTTTGTCTGCATCCTCAGTGATTCTTGTAATTCTTAGCACTAGGCTACAACTCGTAAACGAGCCAAATCTGACGATGCCTACTACGATGCCTAAGGAACATCTGGAAATGTACCAAGTTTGCGTTCTGAAGTTGGGAATTATCATAAATGCGAGAGCAGAGGACTTCATATGAGGTGTGTTCAACTACAACACGACCAAGTTTCTAAAACGAGTTCAAACGACTTCCATTAAGTAACATGACCAAAAAAAACAATCATGAACTCATATTTTTGTCCAATGAGTGATAGACAACTTAAAGTTCGTAAATACACGCCCGCAAACGTGTCCATACACAGCTTAAATCCCCATCATGACTGTAAACGCCACAAGATAAGCTAGTCTAGATCCGATTTTGTACATTTTTGCTACTTGGCCAAGTTTTTTCCGGTTCTGTTATCATTTACTAATTAATTTTATCCCTTGTACTGAAAATTCAGTATATTTTTCAGCGTTTTCTCATCATCCCCATTTTTCCGAGCACCCATTCCTAAAGGAGATGCATAACTCCCTTGTCACACATGTTGAGTGTTGTTATGGCCAAGACGTTTTAGTCTTGGGTGAGTAGTCAAGGTTTCACTTAACTTTATTGTTTGGCCTTGTTTCTTCTCCATCGAAGCCGACAACAAGGCCTGTGAAGGGTTCGAGAAGGTACTGGGACGAGGTGTGTGCTTTGAAGGTCGCAATTGGATGCAGACTTTTTGCGGCTAAGTAATCAAACAAATTTTAGCTCGCTTAAAATTCACGAATAACAACCAAGCTGACTTTCCCCTTTTATTATGTCTCGTATGAAACCCAAATTCATCCAAGCCACTCTTAAATAATTTATAAAAGTGTGTGTAGGTATAGATTCCAGACTGGCCTTCATGTTGCTTCACAACGAGAGGGGTGGAATATTGGTTTATTCACTCACGGGGTATATATGCTTTTCCGTTTTCCCACAACCACGACATATTGCTTAGCCAGACATCAGATTCACCCTCCCATTTCTCCCCATTTTGTTCTGAATGAAGATGCGTCTTAAACCATTGCCTAACAGTTTTATCACGGAGAGAGAGAATAAACCCCATGAACGTGACTTCTTACAATGAATATTCTCTATTTTCGTATTCTTGCTTTTTTATTTTGTACAACTCTGTCTTTCATTGTAGTAAAGTAGGCTTTAATGGGTAAGGATGTCCTGCGCACCGCAGAGGACGCTATGAATGCTTTTGTAATTCATAGAGTCTTGGAAAGGCTGGAAATATCTGTGACATATCTCACTGCTGCCGGGTTATTTGCACTAACCTGAACGGTTCACTGTGAGTTCAACATTTTGGCTTAAAAGTAAGCATGGAAGGCTTTCGGAACTACCGGAGGCTCAGTAGTCGTGATGACTATTGAATTGATTTGCGGGAATGAGTGGTGATTGGGGTTAGTTACCGATTATGGAATCTTTTTTCCGAGCTTTCTTTAGCCTAATTCTTACTAAAAGAATTTTATATCTACGAAGGAAATGCGGCTTTCGAAGAATCTCCTGAGATAAGTTTGTTATGAAGACTTTCTTTTCGTATGGAAGTGCATGAGGATGAGATTCAAAGGTCACCCTCACCAGAAGACGTCGACTGTTCGCATTATACTCCCGCCATTTGGCTTTACTGCTGCGTTCAGGTTGATGCAGTCCACAAGATATCCTCAAATATTTTGGGCGTAGACCGGTTGACTTTTCATTCATCATGTGACGAACATCGTCAGAGCTGGGACTCATTCATGCAAAAGCCTCAAGTTAACACTTAGCCACGAAGACTGTTCGGCTTTTTACAATCTGAAATATGTATTCAATAAGACAAAGATGTATGATATAGATGGATAAAGAAAGGTTTAGTCAACGTTTACATACGCGCACAGACACACTCGAGTACATGTGAATTAGCCAAACCTTCATATATCCATCTATATCATAAATTTTGCTCGCAATGAATATATATATCATATAGAAAAAAGCCTGTTAGTCCTCTTGACTTAGTGTTAATTTGCAAGAATGAGTCCCAGCTCTGACGATGTTCGTCACATGCCGAATGAAAGCTCAGCCCGTCTTCGACCGAAACGTTGGAGGATGTCTCGTAGACTGCCTCTACCTGAACGTGGTATCAAAGCCAAATGGCTGCAGTATAATGCAAAGCAGCCGACGTCTTCTGGTGAGATTGACCTACGAATCTCTTTATTATATACTTCCATACGAAAAGAAAGTCTTCACAGCAATAAAAGAATTTTGGCACATTAGAGAACAGGACTAGGTGCTTTTGTAGGGTTAAATGGTGTCACTTAAATAAAAAGTATTTTTTAAATCGATGTTCATATGTATCCAAGACGATTTTTGGCTTTAGAGTGGACAACAACCTTCGTCTTATTTGGGCCTTGTAAGAACTCCGGATGACATTTAAAACCTCACATCTTTTAGACTCACCTTTCCGAAGAATCATATTTTAACGAGACTTAGGCTCGAATCACATCAAAGACGTGGAAGAGATTTAAGGCCAGGTCTCTAAGACCAATCTGGGGAAGTACATATCTTGTAAATAAATAAACAAATAAATATCATTCAAGCATGGAACAATCGAGAATTACTCGGAACTTATCGGGAGACCAATTTTGTTTACCATGAGATTATAATTCAATGGTGAACCATTTCTCTTTAATGTCATTGATCATTAGGCCTACGTAAAAATTGATGTAGAAGCAAACATGGACAGATAGGCCACTAAAATGGCTGTCCGTTGGAGACAGCATATAAAAAACTCATCGACACTAAGTCAAAGAAAAAATACCACTGGAATCGGGAAAGGAATCAGTCTCACGATCAAAACAATGAATAACAATAACAAAAATGGATGTAAAAAGAGAATAGCAATGGGAAAAAAAGTTCCAACCACAAAAAATATGCAGCAATTAGTGACGCAGGAATAAAAACAGAAACATAATAATCAAGAACACCGAATGAAATCATGATAAATTCAGCGCACGTATCTTCTGCATCAACAAAGCACGAATGAAAGCTTCTGAAGAGGAAAAAAACTTCTAATATCTGCAGAATAGCTAACAACAAAATCAAGAAGTCTGCAGCAATAGCGAGAACTGAAATCAACCGATAGTTGGAATCGACACCGCCAAAGCTTCAACGACTCCAACATTGGCAAAAGCAACAAAAAAATGGAAAATGCGAAAAGTAGCGCCATCAAAATTAAAATGAGAACGCCAAACTAACAAAGACTCATATCACTGGCACAAGAATTGTCGCACCGATGTCTAGGAAATTTGCCTTCACCAACCTGATTTTTTGGCCGAAAACAGTCTTATTGAGTCACCTTTATGGCATTTGATGAATGAGAGCCGGCATATTTGTCGACTAAAATTGAACAGTGAGTTGATTCCAATAATCTAAAACCAGGCTCTCGAACACTCTTTTAGCACTACGCCATGGACACGAATCTCATTTGAAGAAATAGTTTCCCATGCGTCTATAACACACCACACAAAAATGTGAAGTCATCACACCATTTTGTCCGTCCCCAGGCGGCCGGTATAGAACGCAATTTTCGATGAGTCAAAGACACGAATGTGCACGTGAATAGTTAATTGCTCTGGCCATAGGTGACCTTTCAGGCCGGCCCATACGCTTGGTTCCTCTGTTCCGGTACCTTTGATGTGTGACTGGGAGTCGGGAGGGCTTGCGACAGAACATAATCCTTATGAGTTCGTGTATTGCAGGCACTTTTATGAATCACGCCTGGGACAGGCCTGGGTCATCTGGGCTGTGGGTATTTACATGCAGATACCAGGTATGACGCCTTGTAGACACATTGTGGTTATTTTTTCCTCTTCTCTCCTTTCCTTACTCTTTGGATTCCCATTTCCGTCCTCTGCTGCCCTCTCGCCTGCCTCACTCTTCATTCGCCCTTCTCTATACCTCACTTCTATTCCCTGTCTCCCTCTTCGCTGTCTCGTCATGCATTGCCATGCTTGCACTATTCCGTTCGTCTTTTCGTTAATCTTTGCCTCACGATGCCCTACCATCTTGGGCAGAGGAGTGAGGAGAACCTGGTCGATCGGGCCCTGGACCATCCCTCCAACTCGTGGCTTGTTACCTTGGCTCAGTCATAGCAGCTCATAGCAACGGATGTTATTTCCCGGCCGCATTAAGACGTTTTGACTCGGCAACTTGAGCCTGTAGAAGAGCGCGGAGATTGGCAGCCGCCACTACTTGGTGGTGTGTCCACTCCGCCCCTCCTTCTCTCTTCGACACACTCCCCGGTCGGCTACCCCAATAACACATTTTATGTAGACTGTCCACCCAATTCCTGAATTCTGCCTCCCTTAGCCCCAAGGACTTTTGGCGAAGCCAAGTTCCGCCCCGTTCTTCTTCCGAGAGAATACATCTTTGCTTCGATACATACTCAGCATGTCGACGAATTTGATACACGAAACATAAAACGTGAATTGCTTTACTCAGCCTAGTTGTGCTTGAGTCCCCGTACCCTTTTTCGCTTTAGGGCATGACAGTCGTTCGTTGGTTCCCCGCTTTACTGCTGGTTGTTGGGGCGTCGGCAGATGTTACCCTCGAATTCTGGCTTCATAGGGTCCATAGGCATCGAGGCAGAAAAGCGTGTAGATGCGATCACTTGCTGACCAACTTTCGCGTCGATTTAACACCGATTTCGCAACTTGGTCTTGTTGTCAGGGCGACTATGTAGAACGTATCTAGTCCGAAGTCGTCTGCCATAGTAGTTGTCATGATTCCCAGCATCTGACAGTGGACTTGATGCTGGGAATTATGACAACTACTATGGCAGACGACTTCGGACTAGATGCGTTCTACATAGTCGCCCTGACAACAAGACCAAGTTGCGACAACGAGGTCAACCCACTTCTATAAATCGAAAGAAGACTGCGACCATAACAGAGGCCACAACATCTTTGTCTTTATTTATTCAATTAACACCGATGGTTTGAGCGCAAGTCCAAGTCTAGTCTGACGCCAACACTATCCTTAATGACACCGGTTGATAGTCCTCGAGACCAGCATCACAGGGGAGCAGACGAAGCGCACCTCTATTGCTTCTGCCGATGTCCTTTGGGCCTTAATTGCTCGGCCTGCTTGTGTTTAATATGGCGTGCATATCAATTCATTTGAGCTGTTTCGTGACTTTGTCACCAATATTTTTAGATGCTTAAGAGATGGCCAAATAAGTCATGCTGTAGGAGACCTACACATTTTTATCATGGCTCAAGCGTGGACAAATAGGTGGATAAGATAGACCGTATCCTCTGCAGAGTGTTTGGCAAGCTTGGCAGAGGGTTTAAAGATTGCATAGAGACTGAGACGGACGGAACTGCTCACTGGCGGTGCATTGGCATGGGCCACTTGGCGGAATTTAGAGACTTCTTAATTTTCGATATTAGTAGGTTTTTAGACTATCAGTCATTCTTACTAGAGAAATCTCAACGTCTTTGAGATGTACCGTGAAATGGGAACTATGCATATAACTCAGCCTCCGAACAGCGACTAAGAATAGTGCCAAAATTTTTTTCCTTCTCACCGAGCTCATACCTTAGCAAAGCACTTAGACAGGTGGCAATGGCCAAGAAGCAAGGGAAAATCGGAAACACGCTAATTCATATATTACTCCTTTCCGGCTAAAATGTTTAGTAACTTAACGCATACCAAGAGATGATGATGGACTACTATAGCGGCATTAATACACTCTGTAGGACTCCATTTCGAGTCTGATGTGCAGCCTAGCTACGAGAGGCGAGGAGACTGTGCACACCGTGAGGGGAGGTCGTGCTAGCCTGAATGCCA